CGCCCGGCCTGGCTATTTTTCTTAATGGAACAGCCCTTCTGTCCTTGAACCTGGTGTGTCTTCTTGGTTTATACTTTTTCATTCTGGAGAATTCCCAATCATAAATATTTTTGTGGGAATTTATTTTTTCAGGCATCTTATTATTTCTCTGAAATCAGCCAATGAACGTTCAAATACTGAGGCTAATTAATTAGTAGCTGGTCTTAAACTTTTTTGCATTCTTTTTGTGGTTTAAACTACAGCACTAAATTGATTTGTGGACAATTATTATCACTTGAAAAAAACTAAAACACAGAAACTTTGTCAAAAATATCTAAGTGATCGAGTTCCCCCCCCCAAGAAATTTCAAACATTGCCTTGGAGTGTGGTATCCTTAAGCATTTTTAATGGAGAATACCAATACATAAATAACATTGTAAATGCCCATGTGTTTCAGATGTAAGTGCAATATGTTGTTTTAAAAAAGACAGAATCGCCTTTTCTGTCTACGAAATACATCTTTTTGTTTTTGAAATGAAGTTGTCAGAATTTTAGAAATTGGTGTAGACATGCTGATTACTAGAGTACAGACAGAACCTAATAACTGTCATAGTGCTTTGTACTTAACATCTTTTTTTTTTTGGCCTGCTAACAGTGGAGGGAGGGAGGATAAAAGTGGATGCAAAGAGGAAGTCTGACAATTTCTTGGCCACCTAAGAGCAAAGGAGGGACTATTGTCTTATCTTGACGCTTATCTTCTGAGTTGTAATAGTTTTCCTACATGTAAAGGACTTCCTAGCAGCCCTTCCAAAACAAAAATAAAATGTGTATGTGTGTGAATACATATACATACACATGTATTTGTACAGCTGTGCCAACTATGTTTGGTTTTAGGGTATCTCCTGAATTTAGTAATAGAATAGTTCTTAAAATTTTACTACTATAAGCTTGTGCTTGATTTTATTAGCTGTTGCTGTCTTTTGTCTTTTGTCTTTTTATTTGCCCAAAATATCCACAGTCATGTAACAGCCTTCAAATCCCTTCAAATGTTATCATAGATTCTTAGAAGTTTCCACACTCTGTTTCAAGTGGATATTTATTTAGTAATTTAAAAAGATGATTCATTATCAGTGTTGTTAATCAGTTATGACCTCAGACTATTCTTTATATCTCATTTAAGCTAGTTTTAATAGTTTGTAATGTTTATGTTTGAGAGATGTAGCGGTGGTTTAACTGTGTACTTTTTTTCTTTGCTTTCTTATATGATGTGTACTTTTTTTGAAATTCACACTGCTTTTATTTTGTCTTTTGATTTAAGTGATGATTTACTGGAAGATTCAGACAGTGAAGAGCATTCCAGATCAGATTCTGTGACAGGTATGTAAAAAGTATTAGGTGATAAATTTTGTAAATCCTTGCATTTATACAGTTCTAGATAAAGCTGAATACCACTTAATTCTAAATTTCTTAGTTAATGCAAGCTCTACATTTTCACTAATATACACAGAAAATAGAGATATTGTATATTAGAGATCATGAGTGAGTATTAGGTATATACTGTCCCGTAATTAAAATTTAAATGGTACTTATTTGAGCCAAAGGAATTAAAGTGATAATTATATTAAATTTTCATCACATATATCAGGGAATTCAGCATGTTTATTTATGTGATATATTTTATTAACTAAAAGTAATGTTTAAAGCTCTTTATTCCCAAAAGAAGACAAATGAATAGAGAATAAATTTTAATGTATAAAATTACAGACATTACGACATCTAATAAATGCTACCTTACTAGCTCATGAAATGTTAAGGCAAAGAAATATACTTTATATTTTAATGTTATTCTAAAATAACATTTAACGGTGAGGGCGGGAGGGAGAAAAACAAAATAACGTTTAAATATGAATGTTTAAATGTTATAAAGATTAAAATATATTTATAGAAAAGACTAGTAGTACCTCTCAAAATACTTTCGCTATGTCAGAATTTAAATCCTAACTCTGCTAATTATTATAGTCTGATTATATTTACTAATATATAAAATAGTGCTATTAACATCTATTATTCAGAGTTTTAGGGATTATATAAGGGAAATACATACAAAGCATCAAACATGGTACCTGGGAAGTAGCCAGTATTTTTTAAACAGTGATCACTATTACATTGTGGCTATTCTCTAATGTCAACTGTTATGTACTAAGGAGTATGTAACTTAATAAATCTTTTTAGAGGAGGCATGGTTTTGTATAGTACAGTTCTCAAAGGTTATAGTTAGTGTAGAGTAGTAAATGTTCTCCAAATTCTAATTTGTTATGAAATCTTTTTGAAAACTACCAAATAGAACACTGGACTGCTTTTGGATTAACCTCAGCTGTCTTTTGAAACAGGTTTTAGCAATTAAAAAAAAAAAAAAGGATAATACCCTTAATAATGCACAAATATGTAATTAGTCCCAAAAGAATAAAGAATTGAGTGCATTAAAAAAATAAAGACTGATAAAGATAATGCTTTTCCTACTTTATTGTCCTTTTTTAAAAACAGAAGAGAGTTACTGTTTCATTTTCTTGATCTGATAAAGAATCTACTGGTCACTGGTCACTTGGAGACCTGGTTAGAGCTTGAACTTTTTCGTAAAATAACTCTTTGGTCTTGTCAAGTCACTTGAACTCTGCGGGATTTTTACAGTTTTTCCTTTGTAAAGTGTTTGCACAAAATGTTCTTCCATATTCCTTTTTCTGTTTTAAATTTTTTGATTCTAACTATAACAGTTCCTTTGTATGTTATTATAGCTTTGTTCTTTTCTCTGGGTTTAAAGGTCTCAGTATGTGTTTTTGTAATTACAATACTCGTATTTGGTCTATTTTCTTAGCTCTTTTCTACCTTCATCTTTTTCATCTATGCCTGTTTGATTTTTCACACTTCCTTTAGATACTGTAATTCTTTTTACGTTGCTTCCCGTGGTAATCTAGAAAATTCCCATATATTTTTGTTGACTACGTGTGACACCTTTCTTAGAATTGGGAATATTGTCTTTATGTAATATTAGAAAGTAGCTATGGGAAGAGAAAAACTCCTTCCCATTTACAATTTTTAATTGCCTCATTTGAGGATTGGTAAGTGGCTCATTCATTCATAATAAAATATATAATTTCTAAACTAATTTTGTTATATTGAAAGACAACTGGTGACTTTATGGAAGCTCATGCAGTGGCCATATGTATACTTGATATTAATGATTGAGGTGTTCTCTTCCTGAAATATCTACATTTACAGCTCTGTTTCCCATCTAATTGAATGACATGGTTTGAAGAATTATAGAATATATTTCTTAATTTCAAAAATGCGAGTGCAGACTAAGAGACATCAATTTTTCAGTTGAAGGTAGTAACTTTTGAAAGTATTCAGTTGGTAACAGAAAAGTTTGGTTTTCGGACCACATATGAGAATTAAGAATACATGGCTTGTTGTGAAGAGTGAGAAAAATGTTTGGCAAGAGATTAAAGGGTTCAAATTGAAATGTAATGGTTTTAGAAAAGAGCCTAAATTAAACCTAATTGCTGACCTTAGGAAGTATTCTTGCACAAGCTGTGGGTCTGACACTACGTGGGTAGGCAGAATAGGGTTTCCCCAAGTGACTGTCTGAAGAATATGTTTGTAGGTATTTGTGTAAAACTTTACTTTATGGCCTAGTAGATCTTAGAATTTGAGGGAAGTGGAGGTGACAGGTTTCCTTACTGCAGGATTTGTCAGTTATCATTGTACTTTGTTAGTTTTCTGAAGTAGAATATATAGTTTATCCTGTTTCTTAGACATTGATTAAATATTTGAGAAGCATAGCCGGGCATGGTGGCGCATGTCTGTAGTCCCAGCTACTCGGGAGGTTGAGGCGGTAAGATTGCTTGAGCCCAGGAGTTTGAGGTTGCTGTGAGCTAGGCTGACGCCATGGCACTCTAGCCTGGGCAACAGAGCCAGACTCTGTCTCAAAAAAAAAAATTGAGAAGCAGAGTAGTAATGCTACTTGTTATATATATTTTTTGTTTTTAATGAAGTCTCACCTCACATGCCATTTACTTCATGTATTGTCCTAAATGTATGTTAATATAGTAGTTTATGATTTATTTATTTTGTCTTAATACATATGTAGACTAAAATTGTTTTTTTCTTGGCAATTTCCTATCATAACTTACTAAAAAAAGTCCTTTAAGTCATTTTAGTCCAATAAACAGTTGAGCATCCTCAGGATTTATGTAATGTTATAAAAATATCTCACCATTCAACCTTCAATTTCCAATCTCAAGTAGTAGAGAAAATATACATAAAAATTGCATGGCAGTAAAAAGGTTGCATGTCAGTATAGTCAAATGAGTAAGTAAATGAACAGTTTCATTAGTACAGTTAGTTTTTATAACTAAAATCTTTCTTCTGCTTTAGATAGAAAGATTTCGGTATTAGAAGATAGTGGTAACGTTATGTGAAGTGACATCATCCCCAGATTATGGGACATTCTAGATAAAGGTATCAGTGAGCATGTTGAAGAGATCATGAATGAAATAGTTAACAAAAATGGTATAAATGGAGCTTTCAGTATACCTTAAGTGTTTGATGGTCCTTGAGTCTCTGTTGTTCATTCCTTTACATGGGCAGCTGTCAAGTCTTCATGCAATCACCTTAAGTTCTTTTATATGTATTTCTTTTACTCTTCTTTGTTCTTCCTATTTAAATTGTAAAGGCAATTCTGATGTTTTGTATTTCCAAAAATCAACCTAGAGTGATCTTTATGTTATTGTTGCTAACAATGTTGCTGCCTGACTGACAGTAGTTTGTGCTATTGAGAAAAAAACAGATTGGTTGCAACATTTGCAGTTCAGTATCAAGAGATTATACTTGGTTTGGGGGTTTACTGACATCTATTATAAGATTTTGTGTAAACAGAGATCATATGTTTGAAAGGCTGAGACAGAGAAATGACTTTTGTACTATTTGTAAGGGGACACCTTAAGAGGACACAATAAAAAGAAAATCAATAAGAGATAATGTAGATGTGTGATTTAAATTAACTATACATTAGCAGATATTATAGAAGACACATTTCACTTTAAAATGACTAACTTTAGGAACATTTTCTTCCTAGTTATTTTTTTCTAAGCTGAGGTTAGAGTTAAATTGCATACTCTGACAATTCACTGATAATCAGCATGGGGTGGGATGAGACAGAAGAAATGCTATAATTCCTTCAAAATTATAAAGGTAATTGAGATTATAGTCACTTTTTATGGATATTCTGCAAAGTGCATAAATGACAGATGTATAAATATTGAGTATCTTGTTGGTTTACAATTGAAGTGTGAAATCCTATTATTTTGATACTAATTTAAAGTGATGAATAAATATCTTTATTCTTTAACTCTTTTAATCTCCTAAGTTTTTTTTAAAAAGGGGTTTTACTCACAAATTATCCAAATATATTCTGAATTGGAAATAATTTTGAGTCCCTTGGTTTTTCTTAGTAGGTTCATCTCAGATTTGATTAAATTTATTTTAAAATACGTAATATCTATGGGGGATTGGTTCCAGGACCCCCCGTGGATGCCAAAATTCACAGGTGCTCAAGTCCTTTATATAAAATGGTATAGTATTTGCATATAACCTATGCACATCCTCCTGTATACTTTATATCATCTCTCTAGATGACTTATAATACCTAATCAATGTAAATGCTATCTAAATAGTTGTTATTCTGTATTGTTTAGGGAATAATGACAGGAAAAAAGTCTGTACCTATTCAGTATAGACACAGCTAGTCATTTTTTTCCCTCAAATATTTTCTTTTTAATTAATTAATTATTTTTTTTTTTTTTTTTTTTTTTTTTTAAGAGGCAGGCCATCTTGCTCTGTTACCCAGGCTGAGTGTAGTGGTACGATCACAGTTCACTGAGCCTCTAACTCCTGGGCTCAAGTGATCCTCTTGTCTCAGTCTCCTGAGTAACTGGGACTACAGGCTTTGCGCCATCATACATGGCTAATTTACAAATTTTTTTTGTAGAGATCAAGTCTTGCTATGTTGTCCAGGCTGGTCTCGAATTTCAGGGCTCAAATGATCCTCCTGCTTTGTACTCTCAAAGTTCTGGGATTACCCCCATGAGCCACCATGCCCAGCTTTTTCCAAATATTTTCAATCCAAGATTGGTTACATCCATGGATGTGGAATCCATCAATATAGAGGCCTGACTTTAAAGTCTTTTGCTTATATAATTATAATGCACTGTCTGGATGAGTATGAAAAAATAATGAAAACGTTAAACTGCGGATTTTAACTTTATTTAAAGACCATATCTAATGAATACTCTTCCTTTTCAAAGGGCATACATCACAGAAGGAAGCCATGGAAATAAGCCTTGATATAACAGCTCTCAGCATTCTCCAACAGCCGGAAAAACTCCAGTGGGAGATTGTTGCAAATGTGCTTGAAGATACTGTTAAAGATCTTGAAGAACTTGGGGCAAATCCTTGCTTAACAAACTCTAAGAGTGAAAAGACAAAGGAAAAGCACCAGGAACAACACAACATTCCCTTTCCATGTTTATTAGCTGGAGGTTTATTAACATATAAATCTCCTGCTACCTCACCCATTAGTAGTAATTCTCACAGGTCACTGGATGGTTTAAGCAGAACTCAGGGTGAAAGTATATCAGAACAAGGGTCAACTGACAATGAATCCTGCACTAATTCAGAGCTAAATTCTCCTCTGGTAAGGAGGACTTTACCTGTTTTACTTCTTTATAGCATCAAGGAATCTGATGAAAAAGCAGGAAAAATCTTTTCACAGATGAACAATATTATGAGTAAAAGTTTGCATGATGATGGTTTTACTGTTCCACAGATTATTGAAATGGAACTGGATAGTCAGGAGCAGTTGTTGTTGCAGGATCCTCCTGTGACGTACATTCAGCAATTTGCAGATGCAGCAGCCAACCTTACCTCTCCAGATTCTGAGAAGTGGAACTCTGTGTTTCCCAAGCCTGGGACTTTGGTTCAGTGCTTGAGGCTGCCAAAGTTTGCAGAGGAGGAGAATCTTTGTATAGACTCAATAACTCCTTGTGCTGATGGAATTCATTTGTTGGTAGGACTGCGGACATGCCCTATTGAATCCTTGAGTGCAATAAATCAAGTAGAGGCCTTGAATAATTTAAATAAATTAAACTCTGCACTATGTAATCGACGGAAAGGTGAGCTAGAATCAAATCTTGCTGTAGTGAATGGTGCAAATATTAGTGTAATCCAACATGAATCACCAGCAGATGTACAGACTCCTTTGATAATTCAGCCTGAGCAGAGGAGTATTAGTGGTGGATATCTAGTTCTTTATAAAATGAATTATGCCACTCGGATAGTGACTTTAGAAGAGGAGCCAATAAAAATCCAACATATCAAAGATCCCCAGGACACGATTACCTCACTCATTTTGCTTCCACCAGATATACTGGATAATCGGGAGGATGACTGTGAGGAACCTGTTGAGGAAATGCAGTTAACCTCAAAGAATGGCATTGAGAGAGAAAAAATGTCTGATATTTCTACTCTTGGACACCTGGTAATAACCACTCAGGGAGGATTTGTAAAAATATTAGATCTTTCAAACTTTGAAATTTTGGCCAAAGTGGAGCCTCCCAAAAAGGAGGGTACTGAGGAACAGGACACATTTGTTTCTGTCATTTACTGCTCTGGCACAGACAGGCTATGTGCATGCACCAAAGGTAAGCTGTTTGTTTGGTTCTTCTACAAATCTTAAAAAATCCATGTATATGGCATTTGTATGCATACCTAGCATGAATTTTAGATTCATATAGATGGAGAAGAAATTTATTTTTTTATAATGAAGTGGTAAAGCCTTCTGTTCAAACTGTTCTTAAAATTTTTTTCTACTACCCTAAGCAAGGATTCCTACTGTAAATAAGTTATAAACCAGAAAGTATCTTCTTTGCTTTAGACTCAAGAATATAGCCTGCTGTTATTTCTGTGAATCGTGACTTTGCATCTGTTCAAATTTGCGACCCTGAGCAAGTTACTTTAAACTCAGTAAACTTGTTTTTTATTTGTATACTAGGATAAGGCCTATTTCCTAGGCTTGTCTTGTCTGATTTATTCCTAACTTTTGGCTGGTGGTGAATCGGTTTTGCAGCATCTGAGGTCCTATATAAAACAGCATAGTGTGCAATTTTTTTTCCCTATTTTTGTAAAGGATTACTGACAATATCAGGCAAAATGAATACTCTTATTGATAATTTAGTAGGAATTTAGGACCAGGAGATATTTGAAGCATAGGCAACTATAATCAAGGCATGGTGGAGGAATTGGAATCTTAGAAGAGTTACACGTATTTATTATCTGTGGTTCTAGTAGGAATTAACCTGAGTTTTTTCTATCTTTAAAGAGATCTCAAGAGTTTAGCCAGGGAGGATAATTGTTAATATAGTGTTCAGATTGCCTTCTTTGAACTATACCTAAGTGAAATAACAAGGAAAAAGAGTCTTTAAATAACATCAAAATCCAACTGTATTAATTTAAAAAATGAGCAATGTAGAACAACTTTAGATTAATAAAACTTTAAATTAGAGTTGAAAAGTTCAGAGCAACCATTAAAATACTATGTGGTATCCAAACATAATTTGAATTTTATTGATCACATATATATGTGTCAGTTCATTGTTGTAAGAACTTTACCTCTTTTGATTTGTGTAATCATCTTACCAACTTAGTGAGATATGTACTATAATTGTCTCCATTTTGCAGATAAAGAAACTGAATGAAAGAGAGGTTAAGTAACTTCCCTTAGTCACAGAGCTAATAAATAGCAGAGCCAGCAGTCAAACCTGGGCAGTCTTTCATCAGAATGCTTTAAGTGACATTATACTGCCATAATGTAAGAAAAGTCAAAGAATCTTACATTGAATTCTTTGTAGTCTTTTAATCTGAAATATTTAAAAAATTGAAAACAATTTGCCAAAGTTCATCCAAAATGGAGCTGGGTTTGGAACCTGGGTGACCTGGCCCCAGGGCACATCTTTATAAGACACTAGTATTTTCCAGAAATGCAATAAGGGTTTAATACTTTAAATTATTTGATGAGATATGCTTTAGGCAACTGAGAGAGGAGAAATAGTATTTAAGCTTAAATATTTAAGTATTTAAATAGTAGTATTTAAAGTAGATGATTGTTTTCGTGGAGTTTGGACGGTAAGAAGTTTTGGGAAGTGATCTCATGTGATAGGAAATTTATCCAGCTGAGTTGAAAGATAAGAAAAAGCCTGAGAAATTAACCACTTAAAAAAGTTATCTCCTGGCCAGGCCCAGTGGCTCACGCCTGTAATCCTAGCACTCTGGGAGGCTGAGGCAGGAGGATCACTTGAGGTCAGGAGTTTGAGGCCAGCCTGAGTAAGAGTGAGACCTGTCTCTACTAAAAATAGAAAAATTAGTCAGGTGTCGTGGCACATGCTTATAGTCCCAGCTCTTCAGGTGGCCAAGGCAGGAAAATTGCTTGAGCCCAGGAGCTTGAGGTTGCTGTGAGCTAGGTTCATGCCACTGCATTCTAGCCCAACTGGCAGAGCGATACTCCGTCTCAAAAAAAAAAAAGTTATCTCTTAATTCTTCAAGGATTGACTGATCAAGCAACATTTGAAAAGATAATATTAATTAAAGGGGAAAGAAAAGTTGATATCTTAAAATATATGTATTACAGGCCGTAAGTACATGTATGATTTTTAACAAGCATCTCCGACTGTGAATCCAATGGATATGACACTGTCTTCTGAGTATATTCAAATAAAATAAAATGCTTTTCTCATGGAGAATCACTGAATCTTTTCATAAAAAATCTGCAGTTAATAAATGTCTTGAGTTAATTTTAGGTAGGATTAAGAATGTACTAAATGTAGATTTGATAAAGCTATCTTTGATTAAAATTCAGAAACAGAAAATACACGTACATATATGAAATTTTGTAAAAGACAAGTAAAAAATCATGAATTTCTTTATAAAATATCTAGAGTTCAAAATGAAAGATAAATTGGTATTCTGCTTGGTACAGATACATTTAAAATAGGAAAAATATAAGAAGACAGGACTGAGATGTATCAGTGAAATATAAGGCGAAGGAAACAATTATGGTACCTGACAAACATATTAATGCCTACAAAATGAAGTTTTTTATGAGGTTGCAATTAAAAGGGAACATACCATCAAATGTAACAGTACTGAATATAAATATGAACCCAACAACATATAGCCTGTATACCTGTAATGATATTCAGAGGGAGAATAATAAAGAGAAGTTGAGCCATAATTGCTTTAAAAGTTCTTAATATTCCTACTGTCTGGGATTATTGGTCTATATGGTCACATCCTTCTTTTTTTTTTTTTTTTTTTTTTGAGACAGAGTCTCACTCTGTTGCCTGGGCTAGAGTGCCGTGGCATCAGCCTAGCTCACAGCAACCTCAAACTTCTGGGCTCAAGCGATTCTCCTGCCTCAGCCCCCCGAGTAGCTGGGACTACAGACATGTGCCACCATGCCCGGCTAATTTTTTCTATATGTATATTTTTAGTTGTCCAGTTAATTTCTTTGTATTTTTAGTAGAGACGGGGTCTCGCTCTTGCTCAGGCTGGTCTCGAACTCCTGACCTTGAGCGATCCACCTGCCTCGGCCTCCCAGAGTGCTAGGATTACAGGCGTGAGACACCGCGCCCGGCCCACATCCTTCTTTTGTTTCTGAATTTAGGAGGAAAGCATTCCTTTAGTCTTCTGTTCTTGGTTTGCTGAGAATTTCCAGTAGGGAGGGATATTGTTTTTTGTCAAATACTTGTTTGCCTCCATTGGGATCACCATATGGTTTTTGTTTTTTAGTTTAATATGGTGAATTACACTGATTGATTTTAAAAAATGTACTTATTTATAGAGACAGAGTCTCATGCCTTTACCTAGGCTGTACTGCAGTACTGTAATCATAGCTCACTGTAACGTCGACCTCTTGGTGATTTCTTCCACCTCAGCCTCCCTGGTAGCTAAGATTATAGGTGCCTACCACCATGCCCAACTATTTTTTTTGGTTTTAATTATTTGTAGAGACAGGCTCTTGTTATTTTGCCCAGATTGGTCTCAAACTTCTGGCCTTAAGTCATCCTCCCACCTTGGCCTTCCAAATGCTGAGATTTATAGGCATGGGCCAATGTGCCCAGGCACATTGATTAATTTTTGAATGTTAAATCAACTTTGCATTTCTGGGATAAAACCCACTTGGCGATAGTGCATTATTTTATATATCATTGGACTCACTAAAATTTTGTTCATAATTTTTGTATCTTGTTCATGAGGCTCTTATATGGCCTTTGTAATCTTTCTTTTTATTTTATTTTTGTTTCTTGTAATCTTTGTCTGGTTTCAGTATCAGAGTAATGCTTGCCTGACAGAATTGATACCTCCCATTTTGTTTTTATTGCCTAGAATTGTTTTTGCCATGCAGGGTCTTCTCTGGTTCCATACAAAGCGTAAAATTAATTTTTCTACATCTGTGAAGAATGATGTTGGTATTTTAATAGGGATTGCATTGAATCTGTAGATC